AAACCGCCACCAAATATTTCCCATTGGTGCTTTGGTAGGTGGGGACAAAGGAGATCCAAACACTGCAAAAGACCAACATGCTGAAGGTGATCAGTTTGGCTTCATTGAAGGTCCCTGGCAGCTTTCGAGCCAGAAATGCCACAAAGAAGCAAATGGCAGCCAGGAAACCCATGTATCCAAGGGCAGAGTAGAACATGGTGACAGAGCCTTCATTGCATTGCAGCAGGATGTGTTCTGGTTGGGAATGGAAGTCAGAATCTGGGAATGGGGGAGAGATTCCCAGCCATATGATACAGATACCAATCTGGATACCAGAGCAGGATAAAACAATTGAGTTGGGTAGACTCTTCCCCAGCCATTTCCTCATGCTGCTGCCTGGCTTTGTTGCCAGAAAGGCCACCACCACCATCACAGTCTTGGCCAACAAGGAAGACACAGCAACTGAGAAAACAATACTGAAGGCAGTTTGCCGAAGGAGACAGGTCATTTTCTGGGGGTGACCAATAAATAAAAGGGAAGTCAAGAAGGAAAGTAGGAGAGAGACCAGGAGAATGTATGTGAGGTCCCGGTTGTTGGCTCTGACTATGGGAGTTTTTCTGTGTATAATGAAGATTCCCAGGACAAAGGCAGTAGTTAGAGACAAGAAAGAGGCAATGAGAGCTAGACTTAGACCTAGTGTTTCTTGATAAGATAAGTAACTTAAAACTTTGGGGACACATTGATCTCGATTCTTACTGGAATGCTGCTCATCTGGACACTTTTCACAGTAGGCTTCATCTGAGAAACATAAATAATTTGCTGTGTAAGTAGTGAATCCAGTAATGTTTAACACATTATAACTTATTTACCAAAAGAAGACAGTGAAGTATATGTAGAACAATAATAATTTATCCTCGGTCCCTTCTTTGTAATACTGCCAATTCTGTACCTAAGTGATTTTTATATTTTGCCTAGCCATATACTTTCTATAATTAAAAAAATTGTCTTAGGTTGATTGAATGTACTTCAATAATCACAAGAAAGAGCAAATACCTGGTCTTAGGAACACATCTCGGCATCCACAATTATCTGCATTATGGGGCATTTTGAGGGAGAAATACTTTGCTAGGTCACAAATAGGTTATGTCCCCATAGCAGCTGGCATCATTTAACACACTTGATTCAGTTTGTGAGCTAAGTAGGGTTAGATCTGGTTTATACTTGAACAGGACATCTTCTTTGCTATTGAGCCACCTACCTTCCTGTCTGGATATTGTTCCTTCAATGCATGAGGAGCAGTCATAGCAGCAAACAGGTGCTCCCTCTCTCTTCACCTTGCTGTATCCCGGGAGACAACTTTTAGCACACCTAGAAAAAGGTGCCTTCTAAACATAAAATTGGAGAAGTATGCAAATGAGGATATTACTTATGAAAAGTAAATAAGTCAGAAGATTCCAATTTAGAATACTGAAGGATGTAATTTTCATGTTTCTTTCAAAATACGGTGAAAATACTTTTTTCATAAAGTATTGTAAACATGATCGTCCAATAAGAGCTTGAAGGTCAGCATGATTTTGTCCCAGAGTCTACTCAACTCTGAGCATGTGCTATGGATACAACACCTCATCATCTTCCACATGAATGGCCAATGATTAAAAAATGGGGGAGTGTAATGCAAAGCGGGGAATGGAAAGGTTATTTGCTCCTATCTCGGACAGTGTTGGTGAAACCTTTCGGCACCAAATGCTGAAACAGGAGCTTGCCAGAAACCAGAAGAGCAGCTGCCAGAGTGCATGCACATGCCCAGCAGCTGCTCTTCCAGTTTCTGGTGTGCACAGGCGCACCGGCCACCTGGTCTTCTGGTTTTTGGTGTGCATACGAAGACCAGGTGACCTATGCACATGCATGCACCGGAAACCAGAAAATCATCTTCTCGGGATGTGCATGTGCACAGGGCAGTGACTCTTCCAGTTTTTGGCACTCCCACATGTATGAAGATGACATGCCAGAACCTGGAAGAGCAGCTGGTGACCGCTCATGTGCCTGGAGAGATGGCTCTGCTTGCCAATTCTGTGCATGCCATAGGTTCACCCTCATGGTGCTAGGACAACATCCACTGTAACTTGTTCTGTGCCCTCCTTCTTCCAATGTCTATCTCTGAATCTCAAGTCTTAAAGCATGATCCAGAAAGGAGGAAGCTATCTGCTTTTAAAATGGATTTACTGACCTGCTTAGCTTCCTTATAGGCTACAAACATGGATTAATCAACCACAACATTTCCATCCTGCCCAAGAACAATTCTGGTATCCACGCACTTAGAAATCTTGTGAGTCCAAGGAGAAGCTGGAGAGCATCCTTCAACCCAACCATTTTTTAAAAACACACCGTCCATCAGAGTGGCATAACATCAATTTCCATATATAGGAACAGATAAATGACAACTGAATTACCTGGTTAAATGATGTTGGCCATTTGATGGCACTCTGATTGATGGAGACCTTGACTTCTGAAGAGGCTCCTCTTTCTATATTCCCAATTTTCACTCCAACAGTAGACTTGTTGGGAAACATTGCCCAGTTTATGATATCCAAGTCAGCAGCTGGATTTCCGTCGTCATCCAAATACACATTATCCACAGAAAGATTGTAAAGCTGGAAGTTTCTTAGGAAAGGATGAAGCTAAAAAGACATGCATTACCATGTGAATCCTAATTCAAAATAGTCTGCTTCAACTCAGTGCCTCTGTCTGCAAATGTTGGCAGAAAGAATCCAAGTAAGGATTTACTCTCTCCCCCACTTTTCCTTTATCACTCTGGCCTGATCCCTTTTATGAAGTTGCTAGTCTCAGGTCACAAATATATTTTGACTCCTGCTATCAGCCATCTCACTATGGCTAGTTCTCCAATACTGATCTAATGTGCCAACCAACTTTGGTGATACATTTGGCCAAAACACCAATATCCCAAATTTCTTTGCCTGCAACTTTGACTCCTCTCTGTCTTTGAATCGTCTTCAGCAACATGATGCTGAGTTGTCCTATCTTCGTTGGTAGGTGTGCCAATGCAATCTGTCTGTTTCATCTCTCTTATCTACCTTTTCCTTCTTCCTCCTCTGCTTGGAGATTGTTCTTCAGCTCAGAACATGTCAAAGAAACTATGGTCGCCTGGGTGAAATTTTTTGGTTATAATGTGTTATTGGCTAAATGGGAAAAACTTTGGATACTTAATTGGAAACTAACAATGTCCATGGCTTATAAAGAAAATCTGTATAAGATGTTCTACAAATGGCATCTTGCCCCAGCACGGCTCTCCAAAATGTTTAAAAATTTGGCCCCGAATTGCTGGAAGTGCAAAAAAAACACCAGGCACCTTTTATCATATGTTGCAGACATGCAATGAGGCAAAAAGATACTGGAAAATGATATAATCTTGATTGGAACAAATGGTAGGAGATCAAATTTTGTTCAAACCAGACATTTTTCTCCCAGGCATAATACTGGAGGGGTATAAGAAAGATGTGCTTTTTCTAATTATACATGTACTAACTGTGGAATGTATAACTTATGCGCAGTATTGCAAAAAAGAAAATACACCATCAGAGGTAGATACATTTAGGAAAATTTTGGCCTGTGTGGAAGCA